ATGAGGATGATCGACAAAAGCAACAGCTTCAGGTGTTGCTACCACCTTCGAGGCTACATCCAGACATTCAGAAACTCAAAGAACAAGGCCAAACAGCTCAGCTAGCTCCAGTGGAAACTCATATCAGAGAAATGACAATTCTTGAGAAAATCCAAAAGTCTCAACTGGAAGACAAATTCTGCAAGGCTACACTACAGAAGCTTGAGAATGGTGATCGAACAAGCAAAGAGGTTGCATTGGCTTATTGCGAACTCAAAAACGGCATGCTAGAATATCAAAATCGAGTTTGGGTGCCAGAAACCATTCAGGTGGACTTGTTGAGAGAAGTTCATGAACAACCTTCTATGGGACATCCAGGAGCTGGAAAGATGCAGCGAGTCATGAAACAGCACTATTACTGGCCAAACATGGACAAAACAATAATTCGATATATCAAAAACTGCCATAGTTGTCGAAGATCGAAACCATCTCGAGATTCCTACAATGGACTTCTACAACCAATCCCTATTGACAGTCGACCATGGATGGATATACCAATGGATTTCGTGACAGGATTATCACTCTGTGAAGGGAACAATGCTATCTTGGTTGTTGCATGCAGGTTGACGAAAGAAAGACATTTCATTCCGTGTTTCGCTGGGCAAGAAGGGACTACTGCAGAAGCTACAACACAGCTCTTACTTTGACATGTATGGAAGCACCATGGTCTACCAAACTCGATAATATCAGACAGAGGTCCTCAGTTCATTGCAGAAGTCTGGAGTTTGCTCTGCAAAATTTGGAAAATTTCAGCCAAACTTTCAACTGCCTTCCACCCAGAAACAGATGGACAGACTGAGCGATTCAATGCAGAGCTCGAACGCTACTTGCGAGCTCATGTGAACTATCTTCAAGACAATTGGGTTTCATACTTGTGCATGGCGGAGTTTGCTGCCAACAGTTTGCCATCAGATGCAACCAAGACAAGTGCGTTTTTTGCGAACAAGGGCTATAAACCAAGAATGAGCTTCGATACAGAGCAGCAAGCATATCACGAAGCCAAACAAGAGCACAAGAACATAGCTCAGACCATGGCAAAGGTTTGGGAGTTTCTGCAGGATGAAATCACGCCCTCGCAAGCAAAAATGGAACATTTCGCGAACAAGAAAAGGAAACCTGCACCACGCTATCAAGTGGGAGACAGAGTATGGCTTTCAACTCGAAATATAAAGACACAGAGGCCATCAAAGAAGCTAGACCACAAGCAAGTGGGACCTTTTGAAATTCTAGAGCGAATTGGGCAAGTTGCATATCGGCTCAAACTTCCAAACAGCATGAAGATTCATCCAGTATTTCATGCCAATCTATTAAGACTTGACTCGAATGATGCAATTGAAGGGCAGCAACAGGAGCCAGAGCCTCCAGTCATTGTCAATGGCGAAGAGGAGTGGGAAGTGGACGAAATCCTCGACTCAAAAGTTATTCGAAAGAAGCTTTTCTACAAGGCAGCTTGGAAGAACTATCCACCAGATGAGACATGGTATACTGCAGAGAGCTTTGAAAATTCTCCAGAAGTTACCCAAGCATATCACAGAAAATACCCTCAGAAACCAAAATGAGAGCTGGAGACAATTGTTTTTTTTTGAAAATGGGATTTCTTGATCAGGAGATCAACTCTGGAGTAGGGGGGGGGTAGTGTTATACAACACTTCAAACGCTTATAGAGAAAGCTGTCAGACTTGATGATAGGCTTTTTGAAACTATCAATGACTCAAGTGCACCAAGATACTGTTCTATCCTCCTACGGACCTCGCAAAGACCTAACAGGCACTGCAAGGGAGTGGCATAATCGAATGGGCCACATTAATCAAAACGCAATAAGGAAGCTCCAAGAGAAGACCCAAGGGGTTATTGTCACAGACATGGATTCGTACGACACTAACTGCGAAGTCTGCCGCCTTACCCATGCTACAAAAAGGTCTCCCGAAGATCTACACCACGGTCACAGATCCCTTATGAGAAGGTGCACCTAGACCTTATCCAGATGCCAGAAGCGTACGATGGTAGCACACAGGCCCTACACTTACAGTGTGATTTCTGCCGCATGAACCATGTCTACACCATTAAAGACAAGAGGCAAGGCACAGTCCTACAAACAATTAAGGACTTTGTAAGCTACGTACGGAGACGATGGGGTTATAAGGTAAAGATCTTCTTCCTTGATGGTGAGAGATCACTTGGAGATGAATGGGATGCATGGATTGCAGATGAAGGATACGAAGTGCAGCTTACACCCCTGCACACTTCCGAATGTAATGGTGGGTGCACCAGATGTGAAAATCTAGCCACCCAAGGAAGGGATGATTTTACTAAGACAACACACTGTCTTAGAAAACAGAGCCAAAGGGTCGTAGCTTAGACTATTCCACAATGCAGCAATCAGGTGTATGATGTAGTGGAGTGGTTTAGACAAGTTGTAACAAATGTTGAGTCTGAGAACTCAGGGATAAGTCAGAGGTTAGCACCTCACTGACTTTTCAGAAACAAGGAGTAACAAGATCAATGCTTGGAAGCTTGGAAAAGACGTGGAAGTATGTGATAGTCGATTTACTGTATTGTCTGCTTGCCCTTTCTTAAGGAAAGGGCAATCCTATTTATGCTAAAGGAGTGTAGTTCTCTCATTTTCCAAGACTTTCCATGACTAACCAGGCTTGGTAACTGTAGTCGATGTAAGAGAATCCCATAGAACCATCTCCTAGGTACGTAGCCTATAGAAAGTGAAATGAGGTCCAAGGTCAGAGTACCCCTATAGACAAATTATGTCATAACTTAACCAATCTTGTGGGTAACTAAGGAGCGATGACATGTAATGAATCATAGAGGGTTGTAGAAGCTTTTGGAGCTATCGTTCATGTTCCTAGGCCTCTAGTTGATAGAGATATGTCATGTGGTAGTATTAGCCCAGTAACTAAGGAGTGATGTCATGTAATGAATCATAGAGGGTTGTAGAGATATGCTATGTGGTAATATCGGCCCAGTAACTAAGGAGCAATGACGTGTAATGAATCATAGAGGGTTGTAGCAATCGTTGAGTAGTATTGCTCTTGTTGTTGGTGTGATAAGCCAAAATATGTATAGTGACTTGTAGGTTTGAGGAGGAGATTTCTAAGTTTGCTCTTGAGTTTGATAGCAAATTGAGTGCAACGAATGTCAGTATGACAGATCCTCGACTGAGCGGAACGAGCTATGAGTCGAGATAACTGTGTATAGAACTTGTTCATAAAATGTCTCTTGTGTGAGAATATAATCATATTATAGGTATTAACGTACATAATTCTGGTAATAATCTGGTAATCCTTACTTGTTGAGGTTTCATTTGATTGATTCGCATTTGATAGAGACTATCCTTACCCATCTGTGACTTCTTTTTGCAAATGTCTGATGCAAGATGTGTTGCCATAGACTTTGGTCCAGCAGACTTGATTGCAGGATGCATAAAGGCCTTCGAACAATAAGTACAAATAACACATGGTTCTCCAGAAAGCCGGTCTGCTCCTTGGTGATAACTTCTCCAGTATTGAGAACTCCGGTTGGTTGAATCCCATGTAATCTTCGTAAGGAGTTTTGTAGTATGATCTGAGTGTTGTTCATACCATCGTGATAGCTTCCACCACTCAATGAATATATCGTGTGTATCCTTAGTCCATTTGATGAATTGGTTTAATTTGCCAATATATTTAAGGCCTGCAGGGACTTGATTTAATGAGGATAGTCGTTGAGAAGATGGAAAAGAGTCTGAGAATACATCTGCAATAGGATTGTCAGAATCAAACAACTCTGAGTATTGAGATGACATTTGGCAAATTGCTCGATTATCAGAAGCTTACCAGAAGTCTGGCTATGATGAAGTACTTAAATTTATCTATAGCCCCTATTCGCGTTGGAAAACCAGGTACTCTGGCGCTATAACTTTAGCAACTCAAGTTCTCCTCTACTCTAGCTCCAGGAACAACATATCCTGTGCAGCTGATACCTTAGCCCACTTTTCCTTATCAAACTTCTTAGAGTAGACAAGTAAGAACGCCTCTTTGAAGCTAGAACTATGAGTGGATACTTGCAACCATCCATTGTTGACAAGATTGTAAGACTTTGTGTACCACTGCGCTGTTACGGCTATAGTAACATGATGTCATGGTTACAGGGCCAGGGCCTAGTAACGTGATGTGTGAGTCACAGTGGGAAGGGGTAGGCTGCCATGTGACGGGGCTAATGGATAGTTGCAGAAACTAGTGGATATTGGATAGTTGAGCTATCCACGAACTATCCTGAATATCTAGCTATCCGCCAACTATCCAGATTACCCATGAGGCATGACGCCACTATATAAGTAGATAGTATTTCCTTAGATAGGAGCTTCGTGCTCAACTCAATATAGTATTCTTTACAATACTGTAACGTGTTACTTGGAAAGCCTTTGTGTCTAATCCCCTGCCTCCTCTGTCAAGTCAACCTTATGCAAGAAACCTCTGTGTCTTCTATCGTTTAGAAGTCAGCATTACATGAGCAGGTCCTGGTAATTGGGCCCACTTTCCAAACTGCCTGCTCGTACAAACAGAAATATTAATGTGGTGGAATAACCTCGTGAAAAGTGCTATAATAAACAATTAGTATTGCCAGAAGATTGCTAGGATGATCAGAGACGTACCCTTCCTCTACGGCATATACTCAAAGAGATGCTCAGGGTTCTTTCTCAGCTTTCCAGCCTTTCTCGTATATGAGTGGATACAGCTATCCCAGAAATGTTGCCACTTGCGGAAATTGGACTCTTCATGGGCCTATCAACTATTAGTATCACCAGAAGATTACCAGATTATGAGGTAGCATACATCAATGTGTGCTTGAGTTAAGAGAGCCTGGATGCTAGCAATCTCTTCTTGGAAAGCTCATCTGGTAGAACAGCCTCATCATTTAAAATATCGTCGCACCATAACATAAGCTCCAACTCCAAATCGTCTTCAACCTCAGTCCTCCCATTCGCTGTTATGATCGTCATCGATTGGGATACTTGAGATACCCTCAAATGCAGCAAGCTCAGACAGAAGTTGTGGCAGAGTAGATGGTGGGGCTTGTGGAGAAGAAGAAGAGGCGCTAATATTCTTGACTTTCTGATTTGCAATGCAAGATGCATGGGTACCCTTCTCAGTCCTGTTTATAGTTAGATTGAGGCTACCAGAGATTACCAGAAGGAACTTACCGAACACAAATATCTGTAGACGTGTCTTGTCTTCAGTAGAGGCAGCGATATACTTTGCAGACTTATATAACTTCTTTAAGTAGTAGCTCAGATCAGCATGGTCAGCCTTGAGTGCTAAGTGAACAGCCTTCTCATCTTCAGTAAGGTTGGAGATGCAGTTGCGAGCTTTGATAGTATTCACATTAGTGGAGAGTTCTTCAGGTGCCTTGAGTTTCGCCATACTAAACACATGATTAGCAGAAGATCGCCAGAAGTTCTGGCTATAGAATCAAGATAATAAACTTACTTGAAGTCCTAGTGAAGAGGTAAAGGTGCAAAAGGGAAGAAGAATGTGTAGATTGGAGAGTAACCAAGGAAGGTGGTTCTAAGGTCGTGGTTATTTTGAAGTTGCAAACAAAAATATTCGTGAAGGAATATTCACCTACAAAGAATTACTGTTCCAAAAACAACACCACAATGCGCACCTTCATATAAAACACATACCTTTCAACCTCTACCTCTTTTCTATACTCTTTTTCTGCAATATTCTTCCTACAAACTCACTGTAAGTACACATATCTTTTGATCTACTCTTTGTCTTGTGTTTACTTCACTAACTCACCTTGATATTAGCAAATGGCTCCTACCAAGCAAACTGCTAGGAGATCAACTGGCGGCATAGCACCAAGGATGCCACTTGGATTACGGGCTGGCTCTGGGCTTGGTGGAAAGGGAAAGGAAAAGGCCGTGGGCACAGCAAGAAAAGCTCCAGTTCGCTCATCTCAAGCTAGCAACAATCATGCTCAGAAGGCCACGTGCTGTGCAAAGTCTGGTAAGAGGATTACCAGAGGATTACCAGAACTCTCTAATAAACATATAGGCACCAAGGCTCTCCACGATATCAGAAGACAGCAACTTGATACTAGCCTAATTATCCCAAAGCTCCCATTCCAGCGTCTTGTTAGGGAAATCGCAGAAGACTTCAAGTCCAATCTTCGCTTCCAGCAATCTGCTATCCTAGCTCTTTAGGAAGCTGCTGAATGCTTCCTCATTCGAGAATTTGAGAGTATGATGTTTAAACATAGTGACAGGGACATACTAACAGTTATAGTGACAAACCTCCTCACTATTCATGCGAAGAGAGTGACAATTCAGACAAAGGGTATGATATTGGTTCAGCGTTTGCAGGATATGATGTTTAATCATAGAGCTGTGGGCTTAATCGATGGAAATGTCTCTCACCCAGGAATGAAGGTCAGATGAGTTCTGGCAACCTTCTGGTAACCTGGTACCTAAAGGCCAAAGGTTATAGTGTGGAATAGGACATCAACAATATGGGAATGGAGTTATGGAGTTATGGCGTCTTCATCAATGAAGTCGCGCCCCGTTTTTAACATAAGTAACGGCTAATCAAACACGTGATATAACTGAGTTGCCAAGACCCATACTAGGTACTCAGCAAGTGAGTAATCCTCATTCAACAATACTCGGGACATGAGTGAGTAACTCAGCTGGGTGAGTAAAAATTCTACTACTCAATTCGTGAGTACCCAGTGCGCAGCCTACCTGCTGCTGTGACTGGGCTTGAATAGCCTCAAAGGCTGTTTGCAGCTGCTCTAGTGCCCGTATATGCCCCATAGTAAGGGCATCCTGGCCTTCAGAATACTCAGTCAGTATCTGGAGGGCATCCTGGGCCTCCTTTGCCGTAGTCGCAGGCTGCTCAGCTGCTCAGGCTGCTCATCCTCTTTGTCACCATTTTTAGAGTTCTGATGCCCAAGTTGCCCCTCTATTATCTCCTCAAGTAGTTCTTCATCGGTAGTCTGTCCTTCTACCGCTCCAGCCTCTTCCACAGGGTTTAGAAAGTTTGAAATAGCCATTGAGTCTGTAATTGATGCTATAGTTATCGCTTGGTTATAGAGTTCTTGTATTCCAGTAGGTATCGTTATTGTCGGAAGGCTAATTGGATTTGAAACCTCTGTATTCCAAGCACGAATAATCCAGCGAAGAGCAAGTCGAAGATTCATAAGTTTCTGTGGATCTTGATTTGAATCGATAGTTGTAACGCTGACTTCTAAACGATAGAAGACACAGAGGTTCTCTTGCGTAAAGGTTTACTTATCAGAGGAGGCAGGGGATCAGACACAAAGGCTTCAAGTAACACGTTACTAGTATATAACAAATACTGTATTGAGTTGAGCACGAAGCTCCTATCTAAGGAAATACTATCTACTTATATAGTGGCGTCGTGCCTAGTGGACTCTTGGGAACTCACTCGAGTCCTCGGAGTCCTGGACTCTTAGGACTCTTCTCATCATCCTGCGAGTCCGTCACATGCCTAGTGGACTCCTGGGAACTCACTCGAGTCCTCGGAGTCCTGGACTCTTAGGACTCTTCTCATCATCCTGCGAGTCCATCACGTGATACTTTCGGAACTACTATTCCCCGCTGCCCCTCCAGGTACCAGGGCCGGTCTCATGCGACCTCCCTCCTTCCTGTCCTGTAGTTGGCCAGCCTTCTTGTTCCATCGTAACACTCGCTCCCTTCCCCTCGGCATTCGTCTCGAATCCTATAAGTACGTCCATGTCCCCGGGACTCTGCTGCTCCTCAGCGAGTCCTTCAACATGCAACATGCCTACTGACACTGCCCGCAAACTCCAGGAACGCAACGATCTTGTCCGTCGAATAAAGAACCACGGATACGAACTACCCGAAATGGATTCTTGCTCGAACTGCGTGAGGCGAAACGTTACTTGCGTGTCGTCTCCAAATGATTCACGGCGGTGCGCCGAGTGCGTTCGTCGCAACTTGAAAGAAAAGTGTGACTGTATGGGTCCTGAGCATCCCGACTGGGTGAAGCTCGAACGAGAGGAGGATCGCCTGGATCGCAAAGAGGAAGAAACCCTTTCGAAGTTACTTCGTCTGCGGAAGCAGAAACGCCTCATCCGAACCCGTGGTAAAGATATGCTCCGGCGAGGTTTGAAAACCCTCGACGAGCTTGATGCGGCAGAGGAGGCCGAACGTGTGGCTGCTGAGAAGCGTGACGCTGTTGAGGCTGAGGAACAGGCAGTTAGCGCTGCCTCCTCGTCTGTGACCGGGACCCCCACTTCCTCCAATCCACTGGCCTACTCCCCTGCATCTTGGGATCAATGGCTGGCGGATGGCGGCGTCGATATTCCTCCAGCAGTTCTTTGCTGATGTTCCTTGTTGGTTCCCACGAATTATCCGTAGGTTCGTAATTTTCCCATTTTATCAAAAACTCTTCTCGACGTCCTACTAACCTTCTGTCTAGGATCGCTTTGACCTCATATTCGATTATCTCATTCTCGGGTTGGAGTTCGGTGTCGGTCGCAATTGGGGTATTTCCTCTTGCTGGTTCCAGTAGTGAGACATGAAATAGCGGGTGTAGTCTAGACTTCCTGGGTAGCTGCAGTCTGTAATTAACTGAGCTGACTTTGTTCAATATTTTGAATGGTCCCAATTTCTTGAAGTCCAACTTTGTGCTTGGTCGTTTCGTTTTGATATGTTTCCGGAGTAGGTATACTTTATCCCCCTCCTTGAAGGCAGGTTCCATACTGCGCTTCTTGTTTGCGTATGCGGCGGATCGTTCATTTAAGAATTGGATGTCCGTCGCAAGTTGTTCGTGGAACGATTTCAGTTGTTCCACCACGATCAGGGCTTGTTCAGCTCGTGATTCATCTGGTCTTGGTTGCCTATATGCTTCTGGCTGGTAGCCATAATTGGCAAAGAACGGTGAGACTTTCGTTGCTTCTGTCATCGCGCTGTTATATGCAAACTGTGCGATGGGTAAGATCTGAACCCAGTTATCCTGTTGATGATTGACATAGCTTCGCAGGTACTGTTCAAGGGTCTGATTTAATCTTTCTGTTTGGCCGTCTGTCTGGGGATGAAAAGCTGTTGACAGCTTATGATTTGTTCCCAGTAGCGCCATCAATGATTTCCAGAATTTCGAAGTAAAGAGCTTGTCTCTATCTGAGATGATTTCTTCTGGCATCCCATGATCGGCTAATATGACTCGAATGAAGGTATATGCGAGCGCCTCGGCGTCGCTAGCTTCTAGATATGGTATAAACTTCCCATATTTCGTGAGTCTTTCCGTGATGACGAGGATAGAGTCGTATTCTATTCCTGTTAACGGGTCCTTGGAGGGTGGAAGCTTGACGATGAAGTCCAAAGCTATTGATTTCCACGCTCCTTTTGGTACTGGTGTCGACTTGAGTTGTCCGTATGGCAGATGCCTATTGGATTTTGACTTGCTGCAAATGTCGCACTCTCTTACCACTGTCTCTACCTGCTTCCTCATACCTGGGAAGTAGTAGTGTCGAGTGATTCGTTCGAAGGTTCGTGTTACTCCCTGATGACCGTGTGCTGGTAACGAGTGTTGTTCTTGCACCAGCGGGCGTCTCATTTGACTTGGGACATACACTAACCCTTTGTATCGAATCAATCCTTGTTCGTCGATGGTGAAGTCGCCTTCGACTTTGGACAAGACTCGCTTGGCGCATTCGTCTGTTGCGTAAGCTTTCTTGAGTCTTTCCTCGAGTTCTGTATCTTCGATGACTGAGATCGTCGCTAGTAACTCGTTGTACTGTATTCCTGCATCTGTTTTCTTCAGAATTGCTCTAGGTCTTTCTTCCTTTGGGCCGGCGTAGTCGGTCCGTCTGCTGAGAGCATCTGCTCTTGCATTCTCGGAGCCCTTGCGATAGGTTATCGTGAAGTTGTAGGCTGCGAGGGTTTCTGCCCAGCGGACTTGTCTGCGGTTTAAAACCTTGGTCGTGGTGAAGTATATGAGGTTCTTGTGATCCGTCCATACCTGCACAGGGTAGGTGGGTCCCTCAAGATATACTCGCCACTGCTCAAAGGCAACGACAATAGCCAGTAGCTCCTTGTCGTGGATGTCGTAATTGAGTTCCGCGGGTGACAGTTTCCTAGAGTAGTACGCGATTGGTTTGAACTTACCGTTCTCGTCTGGTTGATTCAGACATGCTCCAATTGCGAAGTCAGAAGAGTCCGTTTCGAGGATGATCTTCTTTGCAGGGTCAAATGTAGCAAGGATAGGTGCTTCCGTGAACTTCGTCTTAAGTTCCTGGAAAGCAGCCTCTGCCTTGTCCGTCCATTTGAATTCGAGATCCTTTCTGGTAAGCTCCGTGAGTGGTTGAGCTACCTTGGAATATCCCGAGATGAATCTTCGGTAGAAGTTGGCGAAGCCTAGGAAGGCTTGCACTTCCTTGACCGTGGTCGGTGTTGGCCATTCCAACACTGCCGTTACTTTTGCTTGGTCCATCTTGATGCCGTGCATTCCGATAATGTAACCCAAGAATTCGACTTGGTTTTTATGGAACTCGCACTTCTCTGGTTTGAGGAGTAAGCTGTACTCCTTTAGTTTCTTCAGGACGAGTTTGACATGCTTGACATGCTCCTCCTTGGTTGCTGAATACACCAGGACATCGTCTAGGTAGACAATGGTAAAGATGTCTAAGTATTCGTGCAAAGCATCATTCATCAGTCGTTGCATAGATGCGGGTGCGTTTGTTAGCCCAAAGGGCATGACTTGATACTCGAATAGGCCATAGCGGGTGCGGAATGCTGTTTTCCACTCTTCCCCAGCCTTGATTCGGATCAGGTTGTATGCTCCTCGCAGATCTAGCTTACTGAAGATCTTTGCTCCTTGAAATCTATCGTGTAGTTCGTTGATTAACGGCAGGGCATACCTGTCCTTGATTGTGATGTTGTTCAATGCTCGATAGTCCACACATAACCGTAGGGAGCCGTCTTTCTTTGGTACGAAAAGCACCGGACTTCCTGCTGGTGATGTGGATGGTCTGATGAATCCTTTCGCTAGGTTATCATCGATGTACTCCTTAAGTACCTTCAGCTCCTTTTCCGATAGCTGATATATTGGTCCGAACGGTGGACTCTTGTCTTTCTCCAAAGGTATCTCGTGATCCCATGGTTGGTGCTTAGGAAGCGCCTCGTTCTTAGGGCCTTCCTGGAATAATTGCTCGTATTCCTTGTACTCCACCGGTATACTCGTCGGTGAGGATGCCTGGGCTAGGTCATCGAGCTCGGAGGTTGCACATAACTCCTTCCGGCCCTGGGAGGGTTTCTCCCGTTGTCGCGTGTCCGTCCGTTGTTCACACGCGCACTGGCTCATCACAACTTTCTCGTTCCACCAGTCGATCTGGGGGTTGTGTTTCTTGAGCCATGGCACACCAAGGATGCACGCATGGTTGTCCATGTGCACGATGTCAAACTGAATCGTTTCCTTGTGCCCGTGTAGCATGACCATTTCCAATGGGACCGTTTCGTGGGTCACCATTCCTTCATTAGTCGAGATGGGCTCTCCATCTACGACCATTAACGGGTATGGTTCGGTTTTCAATTGCGTCTTGAAACCTTGCGTGTCTGCTACTTTCTTTGTCATAAAGTTGCCCGTCGCTCCTGAGTCAATCATTGCTCGGAGGTGTCGCTGTTGTATCCTAGCGACCACATATAGTTGCATGCTGCCCGTCGTGGCGCATAGCTGGTCTGTACTAGGCCTCTTCGTGTCGCTCGCCGGTGGCCTACCGTCGAGGACTCCTAGTTTTTTGACTCGTCCGAGGAAGGATAGTATTCATCCGCTTCCAATGGTGGTCCTTGGGGAGATCGTCTCCCTGTCTCTGCTGCGTCGTTCAGCAGGTGTGGATATCTTTCGTATACCTGTTCGCTTTTGATAGGCAAGTCCCCTTCAGACTGGCTTCGCCTGAGGGCGTGAACTTGCTCTGCGTCTCTGAAGTGTATCCTGGGCAAGGATCGGGGAAACAACTGATTCTGGTGTTTCTTTTTCCAGTGGAGCTTGCAGTCATCTTCGCTGCAATAC